CCTTTAATTCAATTTAATAAATATATCTTTTGAGTTCCTGGGTGACACAAATGGTTAATGACTACTAGCCGAAAAGTTGGCAGTTTGGCATAGGGTTGCTGTGAGTCAGAGCCAACTCTACAGCACCTAACAACACAACAACCATGTCTCTACATAAAAAGCCCTTGTTCTCTAAGCCACTAACGTTTTTCTTTGAGAACATGAGTTTTTCCTCTCAATGGATGTTAGAGATTCCCTAGCTTTTGTGTTTCCATATTCTCTGAAACCTTGTTCAAATAACTGCCTAAGTGATAAAACAATGGTTAGTGAGAAAATTGTTTTAAAATTACATTTGCTGTAAAAGATTGAGCAGTAAATTGCTAAAGCTTTTTTCTTTCTTTCCTTTTTTTTTTTTTCCTTAAAGGGCATTGTGTTCAATATATTTAAAAACTTGATCTGTCTTGATGGAAATAAGACTGATTTTTGGTTTATTTTTCTTTATAGGAGAAATAATACTGATATATTTTTAAAATTATTTGTGGAAGAGGATTTTTTTTATTGTGGTAAATATATGTACAACAAGTTGTTTGCTATTGCAACCTTCTTCATGTGTGTAATTCAGTGACATAAATAGCACTAAAAAAACCCCCAAAAAAACAACTCACCGACACTGGGTCGATTCTGACTCATGGTGACTCCTGTTGGTTTTTCAAGGTTGTACATCTTTACTGAAGTAGATTGCCCCATCTTCCTTCCGGCTGGTGGATTTGAACCACTGACCTGATGAGCACCCAAATGCCTCATCCACTACGCCACCAGAGCTCCTTATAAATAGCACATCTCTCTCTATCTTAATTCAGTCTGTTAACATTTGTCTTTTTAATTGTAGTAAATATATATGTAAAAAAAAAACATTTGCCATTTCAACCTGTACAATTCAGTGACTTTAGTTCTGCTCATCATGTTGTTCACTGTCACCGTTATTCATTGCCAGATCTTCCTATCACCCTTCACACAAGTTCCATGTCCCCTAAGCAGTGAGTCCCCCTTTCCCCCTCCCTCCTGACAGCCCCTGGTGACCACGAATAAACTCTAGATACTTTATACAAGTGAGATTGCACAATGTTTATCCTTCTGTGATGGACTTATTTCACTACCATAATAGGAGGCTCTGGTGGCGTAGTGCCTAAGCATTTGATTGCTAACCAGAAGGCTGGCGGTTCAAACCCACCAGCCACTCCTTGGAGGGAAGGTTGGGCAATCTACTTCCGTAGTGATACTGCCTCGGAAACCCAAGGAGAGGTCGTTATGAGTAGGACTCAACTCGATGTCAGTGTGTTGTGTTGCGTTGCGTTGCAGTCTTTTCAAGCTTCATCCAAAACATGACATGTATCCAGATTTTATTTCCCTTTATAGCTGAGTAATATTCCATTGTATGTATGTACCATACTTTATTTATCTGTAAAACAATACTGATGATGTTTATGAATCTTAAACACTTCACAAATACTTATTTATTACTTAGCTAATATCTTTGGCGTGCCTTAAATGTAAATTGTGTTTGGTAGTTTGCATGAGGCATGAGGGTATGTGAACCTGCAATCTTTAGGACCCCTGAGGCTCTAGCCTCCTGCCTGCCTTCAGTTTCCCACAGGTCTCAGAAGAAGGATGTGGCCACCGTGCCAGCTCAACTGAGTGTCATGAAAACATACAAACAACACCATAGACTCTTTTGTGGGTTTATTTTCTCTAGTCAGCACATTTCTTTTGTAGAAGTTTTTTTCTTAGTTGGCACATTTACTGTGTTGGACTTTTCCCTACTCAGCACATTTCTGCAAGAATGGTATGGATGAAATGCATTGCCTGAGAAAACTATTTCAATTTGATGCAAAGTGTTTTGATGGTAAAACAAACAGTGGTTGTCAAGTTGATTCTAACTCACGGTCAGAGGCCTATCTAAGGTTTGGCACGTGTGGCATGTGCCGTGGGCACCACTTGAAGGGGGGCCGCCACTTGAAGGGGGCCACCACTGAGCAGTTTCTATTAACTTGGTTGGGCCCCACATCCTTCCTCAAGCAAGGTACACAAAGAAGTGAAGCAATGGGGGCACAGGGGTGTACTTGCCTCCGGCCCAAGCCCAAGGGGAAGCCAGATGAGGCCCAGAAGGACATTCTAAGGCACCACAAATGTGAAAGGTGCCTGACTGAGGCAGCCAGACAAGAGTGGGGAAGGCGTTTCTGCTGACGTGTTGCTGCAGTCAACATCTGTTCATCCTGAAATTGGGGGTTGGGGGGTGGCGCAACTTAGCGATTGCCCCAGGTGCTTGTTACCCTCCCTGTGCCCTTGATCATGGTGAGCCACGTGTATCAGAGTAGAACTGTGCTCCATGGGGGTTGCAGAGGCTGGTCTTTTGGCAGTAGATTGCCAGGCCTTTCTTCCAAGGTGTCTGTGAGTGGAATCGGACCTCTAATCTTCCAGTTAGCAGCTGGTGTGTTAACCATTTGCACCACTACTAGAGGGATTCTAATTTTTATATCCAGTAAGAACAATCCTTCTCTTTGTCCATGGTCTCCTGTTAGTCCCTTAAGAGATTATAGGTTTACATTGATTTGGGCAAAAATCCCAGGAATCATCCTTGTTCTGTTAAGAAGAAATGTGGCCCTAGACGCTCACTCACTCTCAGCTCTGTGTTCTGTATGTGTGTGTTTTCTGTCTATGAAGGCTTTGTCTTCTAAAAGGGCTAATGACGGTGTCTATGGAATTGTCAACGCTGGTTCAGGGGATTTTAGAAATAAAATATTTTTCTAAAGTGTGTATCTATGACCCTTCACCTAATATTAATTGCATGTCCATGGTCCTTCCAAGGCTTTATCATACTCAGTTTATTTTTATAGGTTTTTAATTATAGTATAACTTTTTAATGTATCTAGTCTTCCTATCTATTATTTGAGTGTATAGTATTTAATTGAGTTAAGGAACTGTAATTTGCGGGTTTATTTCCTGTTGTTAAATATTTCAGATTGTTTCTGGCATTTTGATATAAAAATGCTGATACATCTTGACATGTTTTTTTTTTTTTATTCTTTTGATTATTTCCATAGGGTAGATAGATTTCCAGGAGTTGGATTATTAGGTCAAAGGGTATGAGCACTTTTATGACTGATAATTAATGATAATTCTGTCAGATTGTTTGAAAGGAGAGGTGAACTGGTTCATAACGACACTGCCTGTCCTGTAGCATTTCTGCTTTTTCTAGTCTTTCTGATAGTCAGTTTGAATCCATCCAGTGGCTCCGTGGGAGAAGGACATGGCAATGTGCTCCCATAAAGTTTGTTGTTGTTGTTAAGTGCTGTCAAGGTGGCCCCGACTCATAGTGACCCCTCCTTGGGTTTCCGAGGCAGCATCACTACGGAAGTAGATTGCCCCATCTTCCTTCCAAGGAGTGGCTGGTGGGTTTGAACCGCCAGCCTTCTGGTTGCCAGTCAAGTGCCTTAGGCACTATGCCACCAGCACTCCCCCCATAAAGTTTACGGCCTAGGATATCCTATGGGGCAGTTTGGCTCTGTCACATGGGGTTGCTATGACTCAAAATCAACTCGCTGGCATCTAACAGCAATAACCAAGCAGCAAAAGCTAGGAGCTTTATTATTTTTCTTCTTGATGTATTAGCAAGGACAAAAAGGACCCTTTATTGTTATAATTTAATTATTTATTTCCTTGCTGCAAAGTTGAAACATTTTGTTCACCAAATGTCGTTTCACTTGTGTGTATGCTGCTTTTGTCTCAAGTCTCCATCAGCACTTAGACATAGGAAGGGAGAGATCTACCTATCGAGTACGTGGGGTAAGCTTTTTCTGTAAAGCTCCACATAGTGTATATTTTTAGCTTTTAGGCCATGTGGTCTCTGTCACAATGACTCGACTTTGCCATTGTAATGTGAGAGCAGCTGTACGCAATAAATGGACGATTGTGTTCCAGTGAATATTTATGGCACTGAAATTTGAGTTTCATATAATTTTCCCACGTCACAAGATATACAAGATTTTTTTTTTCCAACTATTTAAGGAAGGCTGGGCAATCTACTTCCGTAGTGATACTGGCTCAGAAACCCAAGGAGGGGTCGCTATGAGTCGGGTCCAACTCGATGGCACATAACAACAACAACATTTAAAAATGTAAAAACCATTCATAGCTT